TCCTTGTTTGATATTGCTGATAATCTTCCCTTGTATCTCTTAGTGTTCAGTTCAACCCTTCATTGGGTTGGAGTGGGTTATTTTTATAATAACCAACTTTTTTTTTTTACTTGTTGTGTACCAAAGAATCAGATCTGACTGGCACAGGAGGAAATTGCTCCTCCTTCACCAGCCAAGCATCTGGTGGATTCAAATCGCTCGCCTTTGGGATTGCAGTGCAGCTTCTTGCCACTAGGCCACTAGAGCTACAATCCTTCATTGGGTTTTTAAAGGCTGTGAACTGCATGGGAAGAGACTGCCCATCTTTCTCTCTCAGAGCCACTGGTGGTTGGTTGCAAACCACGAGTGAGGCACCATCTGATAGCAGTTCAACTGTCTACAGACTATGCCACCACATCTCCCTAGTGTGTACTAGGCTACTTTTAAATTTGTTGTCATTTTCTTACAGTTCTGCTTCTAATAAAGTACTCAGTTTGTTATTTTCTTTTGAAATAATTTTCCTCAAATGTCTTGCCCTCTTTATATTCCCCTGGGGGTTAGTGGACACTTTGTCAGGCATCTGGTATGAGGCCCCAGTGAGTTGGCAAGTTGTAGGGCCAAGAGTTCAGGAGCATGAAGATAAGGAGTAGGAGTGGGAAGTCGACAAGCATAAAATCCAACAGTTCTCCACTTCTGTTATTTTTCATTTGGTGCTATTATGAAAGAAACTTCTGTGACCACTTATGTATAAACATAGTTATCCCTTCTCTAGGGTAAAGAGCCAGAATGGAACTCCTGAGTTGTATGATAAATGCTATGTCTAACTTTATTTTTTAAACTGCAAAGCTGTTTTCCAAAGTGATTATACCCCTTTCTCACTGAAAGGAACCCTAGTGGCCTTGTGCATGATGTGTTGGGCTGCCAATCAAAAAGGTTGGCAGTTCAAAGCCACCAACTGCTCCACAGTCCAAAGATAAAAGCTTTTTCTTACCATAAAGATTTACTGTCTCCAGATAGAGGCTGGCTGTGAAGTGGAATCAACTCAACAGTAGTGAGTTTGGGGTTTGGTTCTTAACAGAAGACTGGATAGACAAATTATGGTATGTCCACTGAAATAATATGCAAAGAAAACGAGTAACGGTATGGACTGCTAATACTTACAACGTGGATAAATGTCAAAAATAGGATACTGAGCAGAAGCCATTCACAAAGGATTACATAGTATATGTCATAGCTACCTAGTGGTGCTATAATACCAGTTTCTCAAGGGTTGGCTTTTAAATAGGAAATTTATTGTCTCCAAAAAGTAGAATCCAAATTTAAGGAACTCCTTCCTTGTTCATAGCCCCATGAGATCTTTGAGATTTTTAATATGTTCCACTCAAGTCCCATGTTTCTTCTGCTCAGTGTCTACTCAGCTTTATTTTTAGTGAAAATTTACAAAGCAAATTAATTTTTCACTCATCCACTCCTATTGCAGTTTGTTCTGTAACAAATTCTAATACTTACTTCTGCACTTTTTATAACTCGGAAGGGATTAGGTGGAGGACCTACCCTTTTCTAATATGACCTCATAAACATAACTGAGAAGAAACCCACTATTTCCAAGCAAAGACTTATTTCCAGTCAAAGAGGCAAAGATTTTAAGATTTCTTATTTTGAGGGCAAATAATCCAGTCTCTAACACTGGTTCCATTTATATGATGTTCTAGAAAAGGCAGAATTGTAACAGAAAGCAGATCAAAGGTTACCTAAAACGAGGAGACTAGAGAGAAAACTTTTGGGAGTGATAGGTATGTCTTCATTGTGGTGGCAGTACTGATACAAGTAATTTGTCAAATTCCACTCAACTATGTTGTTATGAGACATCAAGTTGTCTACAATTCATAGCAACCTTTGTACAACAGCTCTGAAGCCTGCCCTATCCTAAAGGGCCACTCTCACTGATTCTGACATATCTATTCCCATTACCCCAGTTACTGTATCAATTCCCAGGGTCTTCCTCCCTGCCCTGTCCCTCTACCCTTCCAAGCATGATGTCCTCCAAGGAACCAGTCCCTCTTATCCACGTGTCCAAAGTATGTGAGACAGAGCTTCAAAATCCTAGCCTCCACAGAGAAACTTGGTCTCATCCTCTACTTCAGACGTATTTGTTTTCTTGGTGATCCAAAGTATGTTCAAGATTCTTCCGCAGCACCACAACTCAAGGACTTTTCTGTCATCCATAAGTCATCGTTTAGCTCTTTAAAGCACAGCAATTGCAAAGACCATGACCAGTGCCAGGCACACCTTAGTCTCTAGAATGACACTGCTGCTTCTCAGTACTCTGAAGAGGTCCCAGATAGCAGATTTTCCCAATAAAATCAGTCTTGATTTCCTGACTGAGGATGCCAAGAGTATTGATTGTGGATCCAAACAAGCTGTAATTGTTAACAACTTCTATCTATTCTCCGTCTATTATGGTGCTTCCAATTGGCACAGTGCTGAGAATCTTGTCTTCTTGATGTTGAGCTTCAATCCATATTTAAGACTATGGTTCTTAAACGTCATGCAGCAAGTGATTCAGGTCCTCCTCAGTTTCAGCAAGCAAGGTTGCGTTGTCTGCATAATGTAGGTTGGTGGTTAAGTCCTCCTCCAATCCTGATGCCACATTCTTCCTCACAGAACGCAACCTCCAGGATGATCTATTCTGCATATAGATTGAAAAGGTATGGAGATAGGATGCATCCCTGACACACTCCTTTCCCGATTTTGAACAATAGTGTTTCCTTGTTCTGTTCTGAGGACAGCTTCCTGATAGGATATTGGTTTCGCATAAGCATAATCAAGTGTTCTAGAATCCCCATTTTCCTGAAGGTTAGCCACAATTTGTTGTGATCCACACAGCCAAATGCCTTTGCATAGTCTAACACAAACATTCCTCTGGTACTCTGCTTTCTGCCAAGATCCATCTGACACTGGCGATGTCTTTAGTGCCACAACTTCTTCTAAATCCAGCTTAAATTTCTGGTAGTTCTCTGTCGATGTACTGTGCCAGTCATTTTTTGGATAATCCTCAGCAGGATTTTGCTTGTATGTGATACTGCTCAATAATTTCCACTGTCAGGTCACTATTTTTTGGAATGGGAATAAATATGGATCTCTTCCAGTTGGTTGGCCAGGTAACTGTCCTCCAGACTTCTTGGCACAACCTGGTGAGGATGTTCAGGGCAGCATCCGTTGTTGAAATACGTCATTTGGTATTCCATCAATTCTTGGGGCCTTATTTTTTGCCAAGTCCTTCAGAGCAGCCTGCATGCACTTCCTCCTTCATCACCATTGTCTCTCAATCATATGTTGAAATTCTTGTGTCAGCCAATTGTTTTTTGGTACAGTGACATTGTATACTCCTTTCATCTTCTAAGGCTTTCTGAAACATTCAATATTCTGTCAATGGCATCCTTAAGTATTGTGGTTTGCATCTTGAACGCACTCAACCATATATACTTTAAAAACATGTACTTTCATTCTATATAAACTACACCTCAAGATTTAAGCTGTATTTGAAAAAAATAAAATTTTATTTGCAAGGCAGCACCTTTACCTTCAAATCTACATCTCAACTGCAGGAGAAGAAAATGAGTCAAAGTGCTCTGGGTATCAAGAGAAGAGCTGACTGGTGTTGGGCCCAGTGTTAATTGGATATGCCAGGATATTTTTAAGTTTATAGTTAGAGATTTTTATGTCAAGTCCACTATTTAAAATGTTAGTACCGGGACAATCTCCTCCTGTACCAGTCAGATCTAATTTGACGGTACATGTAAAAATAATACAATAAAAATTAAAAAATAAATAAATAAATAAATAAAAAGTTAGTACCAAAGTCCATAGAATGCCTTTGAGCTGTGGTGCTGAAGAAGAGTATTGAATATATCATGACGGCTAGAATAGGTTCCTAGTAGAGAGGGTGAAACCAGGCTGCTCCTTGTAGACAAGTATTCTAAAGCTTCTTCTGACATACTTTGGACATGCTTCAAGGAGGGACCACCAGTACTTGGAGAGGGACATGATGCTTTAGAGAGTAGAGGCACAGTGTAAGAGAGGAAGACCCTGAACAAGACTGGATTGATTCAGTGACTGGGGTAATGGGGATAGGTGTGTCAGAGACGATAAGATTGGCACAGGTTAGAGCAGGGTTTAGGGCTGTTGTACAAAGGGTTGCTATGAGTCACAAGTGAGTTGGATGGCACATAACAGTACCAAAGTAGGTCTGCAGACCAGGTAGGGATCCCAGGCACCAACCTTCAGTCTGCTCTAAAGCCTGCCCCTAAACTCAACCACCACAATCAGGAATGGCTTGCCCAGTAAGCAAGGCATGCCTGAGCTGTCAGGTATTGTGAATTGTGAATCTGAGACTTTAATTCTGTAGGAAGATGCTCTGAAGTTAGAAGGAAAACATGCCAGCCATACTTAGAATGAGCATCACTGATGTGGTGAAAAAATTTAAGTCATTCACTACAAATTAATTACTCACTCACTCAGTGCCTTTGAATCAGAACCAACTCACTGCTGATCCTCCAACTGGTTTTCAGAAACTATAAAAAGCACTTTGGGTTGGCAGTGCAACTCCCTATCCACTAGGCAACCAGTGCTTACCTTGCTTTTTTTTTCTTTAACCTTGCTTACTGAGAACCATGAACTCAGGCCACACAGTTTTTTTCCTGGAACAACTGGAGCACGATGCTGAAAATACCCCTAACTCTACAGGATGGGATGCGTAGGCCCAGCTCATTAGTTGGGGCTCTCAGGGGTCTTTTGACAAAAGCTTCATCCTGTGCTCTGCTCCTGCATTTCTAGAAGCTCCTTCCTGAGTCTAGAATGGAGGACGGGGTTTGGTTACCTGACCTTAATTAATTACATTCCCACATGGAAAGGAGGATTCAGCCCTCAGAGTGGAGTGGCTGACCTGCTCCTCTAACTCCCTGGGACATGATTCATTCTGCCAGTGCCAGAGTCTGACCTGTCTTTTGCCCCTGGCTCAGTTTGGAGGCAGCCCTGTGTCCTGTGCTGTGGGACTGGCTGTCCTGGAGGTTTTGGAGAAGGAGCAGCTCCAGGTTCATGCCACCAGTGTGGGAGATTTCCTGATGGAGCTCCTCAGGCAGCAGAAAGCCAAGCATCCCATCATCGGGGACATCAGGTGAGACTGGGGCCAGAAGCCACGGGTGCACCTGCCAAGGCCCCACAAGGTCAATCTCTCCTTCCCCCTTTAACATCCTGGGGGGGGGGCTGGGGAGGGGGGAGGGTGTTTCTATGGAAAGAAACCGAGGCTGAGAGGTCCAGTTGCCTAAGATGACGACTCCTTCAAACTAGGCTGTCAGCTCCCCAAACATAGTCTGGTGCTGAGGCCACCCTTCCTGTCCCAGCTACTCTTTAGAGCCATTCACAACCCTGAGGGTTCCTCCACCAAGACAGCAGTTTCAGGCCCTGGTGGGCTTTCCTAGAGGGAGCTCAGGAAGAGTTCCTGGTTGTGAGCTAGGACTGGAGCCTCTGATGTTGCCATCTACCACCACAGGGGTGTCGGACTCTTCATTGGTGTAGATCTGATCAGAGATGAGGCTACAAGAGAGCCAGCAACTGAAGAGGCTGATTATCTGATCTCCAGGTATCTTTATTTTCATCCCCTTGACAAAGATTATCTTCTGGTACACGAAATACAGTTGGACCTCCTTGCAGAGCCTACAACCAAATGGAAGGGGTGAGCCACCCTCTTGCCTCTTCCTAAAATGACTAGGGTGCAGCCTCTGGGCTGCAACAGGAATCAAAGGGGAGGACCTGCTGAATCATGCAAAATGGCCCAGTTGGTTTGCACCAAACTCCTGACAGCAGACTTGGAAGTGAAGGTAGAAACCATTCTGGCCTAAAGCACTCTGATGTGCTCCAAGAATGTCAAAGCTTGAGGCAAAGGTAAGGACTGTCCAAAAGGAGCAGCTGTGTACATCACTGGGCAGTGGCACAACTAGCCTTGGCACTTAGACCAAGAGTAGCAGGTTGGGTGGGCAGGACTTCAGATCTGTCTGCATGAGGATGTCAAGATCCACCCCACCCACAGACCTGGTTTCACTTGAACCTCCGATGACTAAGACCTTATCTCTTTTATCTCTGGTCCCACTTCAGCCCCCTTATCCCAAAGGTTCTAGACTACTGAAAGCTCATTAGTAGTGATATGTCCTTATTTAAACTATTAATGTTCAGTTTGGGGGTTTTTAAACTCAATATTGTTATAAACCTTTTCTGCAAATATTTCTGGGGACTCCCCCCAATGAAGCTTTTTGCTATGCAAGTGCTAAATGACAAAGGCACATGCACCAATAGCCCTCCCCTTACCAGGCAGGTCAGGAATTCCGAGGTAAAGGAGGGAGCCAGCAAAGCCTGTTTCCTCATCTCATAGTCACCAGTGGGGTGGGTGTTCAACTCCAAGACACAGGCAGGTGTTTTACCTCAGGTGCCATGCAAATAGGTGGCCAAGCTAGTATCTGAACCCAAGGCTGTCCACACAAGTCCAAACTGTTCTTTCTAGAGTGCCAGTGCCAATTACGGCCTGGGAATAAGAATTCAAAAGGCAGTATTAGCTCCATTCTTGATGTTATGGATATCTAAAATACGTAACCATGTAAGTGAAAAAGCATGGAGCACAAGTCACACAGTGAATACAGTGATGTACAATATACCCTTTTCTGTAGTCAAAGCTTATATACCTACTCACTCTCTTATCTAACATTTACATTTGTAATAGTGAAAATTCTACTATTCAACTAGCTAGAACATCAACAATGTCAGTCTAGCAATAAGCAGCTTAGGTATAGACAACAGCTATGTTGACTACAATAGTTATGTCAATCTGGCTAGACCATAATTGTGTGGTTTAGCAATTATGTAATGGTACAGTTTGGCAAGTATGCCACCATCCTCCATTTTCACATAACCTGGTCTTTGAACCAAAGGAGATTAAGTTCAGTGTATAAGTATGTATGTTGTTATGTGCCGTCGAGTCGTTTGCGACTCATAGCGACCCTATGTACAACAGCCCTAAACCCTGCTCTAAGTATGTATAAGTATGTATTATTAATGATTTTTAGCTTTAATTGGAAGAATGCACCTAAGAGAAACAAGATTGGTGGCCAAGTGAACTGAGGGCAGATGAGGGGAAGGGTGGTGCTCATTATTTCATCGGTAAGCATTTGACAGTTCTCATACAAACCACCCAAAGTGGACCACAAAGGCAGGACAGGTAATGTTGCAGCATAGCTGCTATGAGCAGCTCCCTCCATAGGAGCTCCCTGCTAAAGGCTAAGCAGTAGGTAAAAGGTATCCATGGAAAGAACCATGAAGGATGAACGAGAGCTGAACAAGGATGTTGTTATGTGCCGTCAAGTCGCTTGCGACTCATAGCGACCCTATGTACAACAGCCCTAAACTCTGCTGTCATGTGCCAATCGCACTGTCTCTGACACTCCCATTCCAATTATCCCAGTCACTTAATCAATCCACCTCATAGAGGGCCTTCCTCTCCTGCGCGGTCCCCTCCAACCTCCCAAGCATGATGTCCTTCTCCAAGGACCGGTCTCTCCTCACATGTCCAAAGTATGTATGTTCCAGGACAAATCTGTTTGTTTTCCTAGCAGTCCATGGTATTTTCAATACTCTTCTCCAGCACCACAGCTCAAAGGCATTAATTCTCCTTCTATCCTCCTTAGTCATTGTCCAACTCTGATGCCTAACAAGTGATTGCGAAGACCATGGCATTTATCAGATGCACCTTTGTCTCCAGAGAGACATCATTGCCAGTGCAAAAGGCCTGATGAGCTGGTAGCCACCAAGAGCTGTTGTGTCCTGTCCTTACAGGCTGAAGGAGAACTACATTTTGCTGAGTACAGATGGCCCTGGGAGAAATGTCCTTAAGTTTAAGCCCCCAATGTGCTTTAGCTTGGATGATGCGAACCATGTGGTAGCAACGCTGAATGCTGTCCTGACTGGTAAGCCACAGCCTGCTGGGATGTATACACACAACTGACCATTGGGGGGAAGCCAGAGCCTGCTGGAGGGGGTGTGTGTACACAACTGACCATCCCCCTAGGACTACATCTGTGGCCAGCAGATCTTTGTCCTGACACCAAGCCAAGGTACCATGGACAGCACAAGGGGATGGAGTAGGGGGGGCCTTCCCCTGCTTATCTCCAGAGCTCCCAAACCTTGGGTAAGCACCAGTCTAGGACACAGAACAAAGGCAGTTGTGGCCTGCTAATAACCAACTGAACATATGAATTCACATGTGAACATTTTAAATTCACAGTAGGCACCCATGTTGTTCCAGGTTTCAATTATTTCAGCTCACCAAGTCTTTTTCAAGGCACCTCTGAACTCAACCACAAATTTCTTAATTATCAGCCAAGTTCACTGAGCTAGCACTCTGCAGAGTCCAAATAGGCAAAATCTATTGTCAAGACAGGAATCTTAACCAATAACCAATATCCCCACAGATAGCTATCATCTAAGGGTTATGCAGCTCATGGCTGATTTTGACCACTAATAGACAAAATTTGAAGTGAAGGTTTTGATGGGTGGATGTGTATCCATGCACAAGTGCACTTGCACACAGTAAAACAACCCTGAACCTCCTGGCTAAATGGTAGGTTATGAGGAGTCAAGGTTAAGCCTATGGTCCCATTACTAGACTGATGTCCAGACAAGAGGGACAATTATCCAATTTTGATGTGTTATTTTTTTCATCTGCAGACATGGAGATGGACCTGAGAAGCTGTGCCACCCTAAGGCTGTAGCCTTGCACCTCTTCAAAGCCCTCCCCATGAGGTGAGCAGGGTCAGCAGCCTGACCCCAGATGTCAGCAGCTCCTTCCCTGATCAGCAAATAGAACCTTTTCTATTTTTTCCCATAGAGGTCTAGGCTGCCTGAAACTGCGCACTACTTGGTCCCACCAGAAAAATCCCTTTTAAACAGATCCAGTGGCTTGAGTTTGGAGGACAACAATAATTCACCCTCAGTCCACACCTGCTGTAAATGCAAAGAACCAAAACTTTTGAGGCTTGCCCTATTGCCTCTTGCCAGTTTGGAACTTCAACTAACATGGGGTGCACAAAGCAGCCAAGCCATCAAGTCAGTCCTCCTGTAACCAAGGGAGAGTACCCATCACTCCCAGATCTAACCAGCCAATGACCCTTCCCTTTGAAGGTCATGACTGTTCAACTTTCCTTCCAGTGGTTCAGGTCAGGGGCTCTATCTGTGCTGCCCCCAGACACTGAAGCCGTAACCTGGTGCTAAGCAAATAAGGAGAGAACCCTTAAGGAACAACACAGCATCTAACTGGCAACCCATTTCCTTCCTTTCCTTGAATGGGCCCGGGGATCTCTCAATCATTAAAGGAAACCTAACGAAGTATGCGGGTCCATGTGTTTGAGCCCCAAGAGGAGGATATGTAGACCAAGAATTGCAGGTAAAATGTCAGCAGTCAGGTCCTTCCCAAGTGACACACCCAGTGGCTCAAAGGTGCTGAAGGAAGGGGGTGTACCTAGCAGCTACCTTCTCTGATAAAGAACAGGCCAAATTCACCAACAATTGGGGGTTTTTAAATTTTTATTTCAAAAGCTTGGATAGCTTCATATCCAGGTCGTGGCAAAATCAGGACACGTGTAAAATACCTTACAATACATTAGATTCCCAAAAGGTACCAAAAAGTACAGTAAAATTAACACTTCCATTACAGGAAATGTATGACACAAATAATATAAAATTAAAAGGTGAAAAAAAGGTGACACTGGTTTCTAAGATACAGTTTACTCTTTACCACCAGGGTCCACAGGCCCAGGCTGCAGAGCAGCAGCTGGGTGCAGACCCTCCAATCTGGTTCTGGGGAACCTGGTAATAAAATTGGCCCATGATGCTGCTCAAGGCCTTTGATACACCACACGCTGCCTAACACTAGAGCTCTGGAAATAGTAAACGGGGAAGTGATTTCCAGGGGGGAAATTTTAAATAAGATGCACATGGGACAGGCCATAGAAAGTTTGCCAAGTTAAATTTGGTACATAATTGTGTTCACTGATATCCAAACGAGCGGTGCGGTCAGCCGGTCTCACCTGCTGCAGCCTCAGTATGGCTTGTAGTTATTCTGGTGGCCACCGCGCCTCTGACTCTTCCCGTAATTTGTACTACCCTGACCTGGAGACAAGAACAGCAGTGAGAACAGCCACTCCTTATTATGCACTATTAACCCTGTGCCAGGCGCTTAATTCACAACCTCTCCAGAGCGTCAACCCTAGAGTGGAGAGTACCTTCCCCACTTTCTGGTAAAAACTGAGGCCCAGAAGCCATAGCTCAAGTTTAGGTGGTCCATGTGGCAGAAGTTAAGCCTTGAGCCCAGGCCTGTCCAACTCCAAAGCCCCTGCTGCCAGTGGCCCCTGCACTGTCTGTCCTGCCTCCCCTGGAAGGTAGGTAGCCGGGGCCTCCCTTTCTCCTACTTACTGTAGTCGTAGCCGGGGCCGTAGCCGTAATAGCCATAGGGCGAGTAGTCGTAGCCGCCATAGCCGGGCCCGTAGCCCTGCTGGTAGCCGTAGCCCTGGTTCCAGTAGTTGCCGTAGCCCTGATTCCAATTCTGACTCTGACCTGTGGGGGGAGCAGGGCACAGGGGCCCATGGACCGTTTAGCACACGCAGGAGCTAGGATGAGCAAACTGCCCTTTGGATGGCGGGGGTTACTGTGGCAACTCGGAGGCAGAAGCCAGAGGCTGCTGTGCTGGTGTAGAGGGCCCTGGGCCTAGTCTGCACCTGAAACCCAAGCAAAGGGCTGGAAGGCCATATATACTACCTTTCCTCACACTACTCTTTCCATTCACCCCCACCCTCCCTGGCAGCTTGGCCTAAAAATAGAACAAAAAAGGATGGAGTTCAGGCTTTGAAGTCAGAAGGGCCTGGGTTGGGAGGAGGTGAAGGCGCCTGGCACAGTCCTACCCCTTACCCTTCTGCATGCCCACCCATGTGTACCAAGACTTGGGACAGTCACAGAACCAAAGACTCCCTGAGTCCATGCCCTATCCCAACCGTAGTGAGGATGCAACCACACAGTTTGCCCTGGGGCCCCAGGCCAGAGACTAATCTCTCACATTTTAAGCTATAGAACAGTCTCCTCTGGGCAAAGTTGCACCTCATAAGTCTTCCCTATGCCCACCTCACACTCCTGCTTGCCACCCTACTGCACACATCGGTGTGAGCCAAGACAAGAACAAGGCTCCAGTCAAGCAGGGCCACAACACCCATCACCATCCAGGCTCCACTCACCTCCACTTCCACCACCACCGCCACTGCCTCGGTTTCCTCGATTGCGATTTCCACGGCCCCCGGAACCATACTGCTGCTGCTGGTAGACCTCTTTGGGCTGGGCCACCTTGATTTCACACTAAAAGCCAATAGAACAGTAGTCAGAGCTGTGGGACAAGCTCAGGACAGGGATAATACAAAGACCTTCACTGATAAAATATTTACTAATTTATGACACTAACTTATCTACTGAAAAGCAAAGTACTAATGGCAGGAAGCCACAACTAGGTTGGAGCAAGACTCAACACACAAAGACCTTTACAGTTTGATCCTCTCCCAAAATAGTTGCCTGGTGTTAGATTTTGCCTGGGTGGTCTCAGTTCTGGGGAGGTTTCAAGACTACACCAAGGAGGAAGCAGACAACAAGGCCAATTCCAGCTCAGTGCACCAAGACACACCAAACAGCACGAAGGCTAGAGCCTGGAGCTGAGCTAACTTGAAGTTACAGGAATGGCAGTGAAGGAGATAATGGAAAGATGAGCAGTATACTCATGCCAAATTGAAGGATTCTTGTTCTCCATTTGCTTGCAAAGAAAGCCAGAAACAAGGTCAGGATGCCTACAGTCAAAACTACTCTCAACTCCATGCTCCATCATGGTTCTGTTTCTAAGACGGCTCAGTAAGCCGTGTCCTCAGGACCAAGAGTCAATTTCATTTTCGCTTAAAAAGCTATCCACTATTTCAGTCACAAAGGGACAAATACTGCATGGTGCCACTGTTGTAGAATGGGTCTGACATCAGGGTTGGGGTAAGACTGAGAAAAAACTGGACAAATTATGTGCATTGTATTGAAACAGATGAGGGAAAGAACAGATTAGAGGTGATATATGATTACTATGGTTAGCACAGGAATCCAGAATTAAGGTTACACAGAGAAGTATACTTGGGGTGGGGGGTGAAGGGATGGGGGAACTGTATACCAATGAAGGAATTTTTTTTCTTTTTTCTTTCCGGAGAGGGGAGCAAACTGGTGGGGAGGGGTTGGCAGGGAGAAAAGTGCGGCAATGAATGAATGAATGGAAATCCAAAATCCCTGTAAATGTTTGTTAAAATTAATAATTAGGAAAAAAAGCAGTCCACTAGGGGTGGGCTAAGGCAGTGGGATTTCAAAATGTTCCTCCTAAGTATGTTTATAAATCTCTTAAAAGACTATTCCATGAAGAATCATAAAATAATAATGCAGAATCTGATATAGCTTCTAAAATACTGTCAGTCACTCCCACAGCAAATTCTATCATCTGATACTTTTTCTCGGTATTTTTAAAATGTTTAAAGCAACCAATTCAACGTATTTCAAGACCCACTCTCCTTAGTTTGACTATTGATTACTGTCCCGGGCTCTCCTCCCAGCCTCAGAGGGAAAGGGGGGGGGGGACCAATTGAGAGAATTCAGGGAAGGGAGCAAGAATAAATGCACAACTAAGGATGCTGCCATACTTAGCAACCCAGATCCCAAATCCAACCTCCCCAACTCCTAGCCAGGAGGCCCACCTACCTGGTCCACCTTATCTAGCTGCCACTCCAGCTCAGACACATTGCAGGTCAAACCCTCAACTCCCAACTGTCTAGTCAGTCTGGTGAAATACTTGAAGCCAGGACTGACCTTCCTCCCCCAAGAACTGACTAGCTGCATTTATCTAGCACCGATTTGACAGCAAAACTAAAAGGGGTTTGAACTGTTGAGGTCCTGAGAGCTTTCTGGAAAGGTTTTTACTTGGAATGGAGGAGTAACTAAAATGGTAACAAAAGAGAATGGAGGACAAAAATAAGCTGAAGAGGTAGAAAAAACTCTGCAAGGTCACCAGAGGGAAAAAGACATGCTCAGAAGACTTCAGATTCACCTTGTTTTAAAATTGAAGCTACTTACCCAAGATGCTTTACCTCATAGATCTATGAAGACCTTGTCAATATTTATTCACCTTTCCATCAGTAAAGTTCTAACTTAGAGGCCACCCAACTGAATTTCCACCATACATTTACAAAAAGCAACCAACTTTCCAACAGCACATAACCAGGCACAGGCGAATACCGCAATGCATTACCTTGCTCCCACTGACAGTGTGGAACTTTTTCTCCAAAACCTTTTTCACAGGTTCCTCTTCTTTATAGGTGATGAAAACAAAGCCACGTCTTTTGTTCGACTTTGGATCCATGGGAAGCTCAATGGCCTCAATCTGTAAATGCAGGCAAAGCTCAGGCTTTGTGCCTCCCCTACCCCAAAGCCCAAAGAATAGCAGAGCAAAAAAGACCCATAAAAGCCAGAGATGATTTTTTTTTTTTAAAAAAGTGCCCTGTTGAGGGCTATTAACTAGCCAAGGCTGGGGAGCAGTCTGTGGACTCCTGGGACACTTACCTCCCCAAATTCTCCAAAGTACTCCCTGATCTTCTCCTCGGTAGCTTCAGGATTCAGACCTCCAACAAAGATTTTCTTCACGGGGTCTTTCTTCATT